GACTCCTTTCATCTCCTCCTCTCTTCTCAATTGCGGTCCATCGCCCTTGTCATTGACAAATATTGAAAAAGGAAAAGGACATTGTTTCACTCCCATAAGTAAATAAATTTCTCGTGTTTATTGATCTTCACTGAAATTGGTCAGTCCTGGCATGCTGAACATATTGTCTATGTTCGGCTCTAAAAGATTGAACAATATTGACGTAAAATAAGCAAAATATATGTTTTTATGTAAAAATAAATAAATAAATAAATAAAATACATAAATCAAGAAGTGTACTTTGATATTAATGTGAATACCTGCTCCCTCGTTGATGGATTGTTTTAAAAAATATTTTTAATTATTATTCTCATTTATTATTTAATTTTGTTCAAACTTTATTTTATTTGTAATGTTAATAATAATGATGAGTTTTGGTGAGGTGAAATTTTGGGGTGAGAAAGAAAATGAAGAGAAAATAATTACAACTTTGACAAGAATATACAGAGACTTGAATATAAATAATTATGAGATATTATAGGAAAAAAAATATTTTATTTAAAAGTTTACACTACTAGAATTATGACTTTTTGCGTCTATTTTTTTGCAACTGATTACTTAACCGTCGCAAAAAATCCTGACCCAATCGTGTTCTTCACTTTAAAAAAAACAAAAACCCAAATTAGTAAAACTTAACTCTCTTTCTCTCCCTCTCAATCCCCTTTTTTTTCTTATTTCCCAAATCTGAACTCTCTCTCTCCCTCTCAAAATCTATCTCTCGCTCAACTCTGACTGCCTCTCTCGCTCCAATCTCACTGCCTCTCTCGCTCCAATCTGTCGATCGATTCAACTCTCTCAAGTCCACTACTGTTGAAGATTTCATAATCGGTAAGCCTAAACACATCTTCATCGATTCAACTCTCTCTGTAATGATCCGAGTTATGTACTTCTCTGTAATGGAATCTGTCTCAAGAAGAATCTGTAACAGCGCTTTACACGGAGCTATGGCGCGCTTGTGCTGGTCCGCTCGTGACAGTGCCTCGTGAAGGCGAACGCGTGTTCTATTTTCCTCAAGGACATATTGAGCAGGTTAGCTTCCAACTCTAGGCAATCATATTCGGAGTTCTTTGTTTCTCTTAGAGGTTAGATTCATTAGGATTTCTCATAATGCTCTATGATTTTATCAGTTTTGTCTCTCTTGGTTGTGCATCTCCAATTGTTCATCAATTTTTTCATCAGATTCAATTAATTGATGATGTACATGATGATGACTTGTAGATCAATTGAAATTTCTTTTAATATTATCATAAGAAAGGTTGAAATTCAATCAATTGAAATCTTGTAAATTGATCAAGTCTCAAGCTCCTTTCTCATTTTTTCTTAGTTTTTTTAATTATTTATTATTATAATAGTAATTATTATGGGATTTCATAGGTTAAGTTAAATTAGATGATTTAAATGACAATTTATACTCCAATATATATATATATATATAATTTCCATGCATTAGAAAATGCTGGGCTGAATTTTGTCTACACTTTGAATATTTCTGGATTTTTAGGCTAATTTTGTCTACACATTTGAATAGGCTTTGTATCTATATCTAACAATGAATCTGTTGGTTTGTATAAGAGCAAGTTGTCATATAAGTGTGTCTGCTGCTGGTTCAATGAATCATACAAAAGTGACTAGTCATTTTAACGGATCAAACATAGGATTACATCCCTGTCAAAGGTAAGCATTAATTGACAAAGGATCTTTCATCCTTAATTCCTTTTGTTGAATCCATACCTATAAAGAGTTTGTAACTTGAAACCAATTTAAAATATCTTAAAAATATGATAATTCTCCAATTAGTTTAAAACATCTTAGATGAATAGATTCAATCAAACATAAATTTAAAATAAAGAGGAAAAGAGAGTACCTTCATTGAAAGAGTGCTTCTCCTAATTAGTCAAGACTACATGATAACAAATTGAAGGAATTTTTCTTCTAATTAGTAGTCAAGACTGAACTGCATTTGAAGGTTCTTGTTTTTGAATTTGAGTTGAAGATGATTTTATTGGAACAAGGTGGTTTATTTTAGTTTGTGCTAGTGTATGGGCAGCATTGGAGTGTTTTTGAATCATCCAGTAGCTTTTGGCTCAGGGAAAAGCAAAAGAGAGGTACATAACTTCTTTTAATTCTTGTCTTTTGCTTACAATTTTGTGGTTTCCATATTATGTGATTATGTGGTCAGGGATCATTGGATCATTTCAAAAATCAACATTAGCTTAGAACTGTGATGGTGAGCTAAGCTAAAATACTGCTTAGATGTTTTTAATAGATAAATTTGGTAGATGGAAATTTGAACAGTTGCCACTTCTACCACCCTAGCGCCAAGTGTCGAAGAATTGGGTGTAGTTTGATTTGGTTGTTTGGAATTTATGAACTGATCTAACATGGTCATGACACTTCACTTAATCATAGTTTGATTTGAATAGGTCATTGCGAAGTCACATACCAGGGGAACTTATAATTTGTGAACATATGCCAGAAGTGGTGATACCCTGATTCTACGTGGTTGTGGTGATAAATGCATATGTCTGAATCAGTGTAACTAAAAGGTGTAGCGATTGTGTTTGCATGGAGATGAGCCCCATACATACTAGCAAATCTGAAAATAATATTTGTTGTATAAATTTAGAAGCTGCTTTAAACAGCCTTTTTGAACAACACATGCAAGTGGGGGCTGTGGGATTAGCACCTTCATACAGTTGTTAAATGAGGATGTAATCGTCATTGTATTTAAACACATTTCCTTTTCGGTAGATAAATTATCCACGTGTCAGACGTAGGGAGATGTTCTGTTATTGTGTTTGCCACCCCAAGTTTCATAGTCTTCTAATGTATCATAAGATAGAACCATGAGAAACCCCTTATCAAGATCATATTTATTCAACTCCATAATAGAGAACACGGCTATAGATTCCAACCACATAGCCAACTGTATATGAATTTGTCTAGTTGCTTTAGGTCAATATCATTAGCTCGTTATATAGCTATCTTTGTGGTATATACTAGAATCAAGTATTTTTTACTACTATGTAGCATTGGTAAGCTGATGCTTTTTGTTGATCTTAAGAGGAGCTGAGTTTCTTAATATCCCGACTGTTAAAACAATGTTTTTGTTTACATCTTTGCACTTCCCTCCCTCTTATTGCCACTACTGCTGGTATGCTAGCCCAGCATTTAAGAATGGGATGATCTAGTGGTATGATGAGATTATGCGAATCACTAGAAACATGTGAATTGTATTAAATTTTGTTAAATTGGGATTAGAGTGGACTACTAATAATACTTATCAAAAGGAAAAAGAAAAAAAAAAAGAAAAGCAAATTACTCTTCGATTGAGTGATAAATTTTATTATTTGACATGAGTGGGCCTCACCCATCGTGGGAGTAAGGGCTGTAAATTCATCAAAAAATAATGCGGATTTACCAATTTCCTTTGTTGTTGTTTTTATTAAGGAAAATATATGAATAAAAACTATTTAATATTCCAGGATCAGGTTGATAGTTTTAGTTTTGTGGTGGAAAGAAGGCTTTACTGGCAGCTAATTTTTACTTGTCTTTTCTCTTTTCTTGGAATATCGTTTGGTGGAATGTCTTTTTGAACCTCTATCATTTGGTCATGTAGTTTTATACTACGGTATTCATTGCAAGTTCAAATTTTGATGTATGGATTACTCAATTCAACTCAGCTTAACAAGCTTTAGTTCTAAATTATGTAGGAATTATTTTTTCAAAAATATGCTTTTAAAAAATCTGACATGTTAGGTGTGCAAGCATATTTGGCTGGGCTTACATTCGCATTAGTTGCTTCACCTTGCAGCACTCCTGTGCTGGCAACCCTGCTTGGATACATAGCTGAATCCAAGGTACTTTCAAATGTTTATTGATATCAATTTCCATCTGAATTATTACCTTTTCGGACTGCTTTATTCTAATCGTTATGGGCCTATAATGATGGCTTAGCACTCTTATAAGAAGCAAAAAGTATGCCCAAGAGAAATTTTGAGACCCAGGAGGGGCCATGGCCCCACTTCATCCAAACATAGGCCCACCCTTAGATCCATTTTTTAAGTTGATAGTTTGCATAATGCTGTTCTGATATTTTGTTTTGAGTATGGCATTCTATTACATATGTGGTTTTAAGATAAAATGTCCAACTTGCATTCTTGGCATTATTTAAGCATGTTTGACCCAATTTTAATTAAGCTTGGTCTGATCCAATTTTGGAGTTTTTATGGCCGCATGAACTGCATGGCACGGAGTGGTGCTTGCTTGAGTCTAACACTTTTTTGGCAAATTGACAGTATCATTTCTCAATTACCACTTAGCTTGCTTTCATATATTAGATTATAACTTCTGTTTTTCAATCACATTCGGAACAGGGAATATATGGTTATCCAATTGAGATCCAGGCCCTCTTCTTTTTTGCGCTGAGGTGTGCACAACAAATGTTAAAACCAGAGGGTGGTGGCAAGGAATTGATTGAGCCTAGCTGTATGGCCGTCAAATCCCAAACGACAATGTTGGAGAAATCGATATCAGAAAATAGAATGCTGGTGAGTGTACCATCCTTTCGGTTGCTGAGAAAGTGCTGGAAAATTGAAGGGAATGAGGGAAATTTCTGATTTCTGTTTGGCATTGGAATTCATGCATTTTCTCAGTAACCAAAGAGAGCATTTAATTCGATTAGGTTCTCATATATAATTGTGTTGGTTTTCAGGTGTTTGTTCCTCCACATCCACTGGTCAAGCACTGGGTTGCTGTTCTTAGAAATGAGCAGACTCCTTGCCCCATCTTTAGTGAGTGACCCTTCAAGTTACTGCATCTCTCTCTCTCTTTCTCTCTCTCTCTCTCTCTCTCTCTGCTATTTTATTTTGTACTACTGTTTGGTTGATTAGATAAAATGAGCTGTATATTTTAGTAACAAATCAATAACGAAGTCAGGGTCCTTTAACATTTTCAAATCTTGAGTTAGGGAGGCTGCTTATGTATGAAGCATCAAGGGATTGGCTGGTGAGCCAATATTCGATGCCTGTTGTTTATTTTCAAACAATATTCATGCTATGGATACTTTAAAAAATAGTATATTATGTGGGTCTAATACAGAACTTAGAAAATTGGACAATCATTGATTTATAGGGGATAATAACATTATGTGAACAACTCTTTCTTTGAAGTCAATTGCAACCTGTTTATCAGTTGTAACAAGGCCCATAATAGAATTGTTGGACTGTGGTTGTTAACATTTGATTGTCTGTATCTCTGCTGAGTCTGCTTCTATTATTGACTATCAAACAGTGTTGCAAGAAATACATGAACAATTAAAACAGTGTTGAGAAGAGAGGAAGATGTAAAGAAAGTAATTTGGCATTTGTATAGGAATAGTATTGCATCCGTGGTTTTGGTGGGCTTTTTAGAACTGGGAATTCCAATCTCTGGAGGCATTCTTTGATCTACTTTATAAATTATAAATGAGGTAAATTACACTGACATCTCTTGAGGTTTGTTTTCATTACATAAGTACCTTTGAAGTTCTAGAAATTACATTTCCTTTTCTAAGTTTGAGTCACATTACGATTCCCCACTCCATCAGTCATTCAATAAGTGAAGTAACAAATTTTGCTGATGTTTTCAAAAAACCAAAAATCAAAGTACTATGTGTAACCCAACACTATTTCACAGCATAATCAAAGCACCCACATAAACATCTAACAAGCAGATTTAGAGCACCCATACAACCAAGAGACTCAAGCCTTAACTCACAGCCACCAGCGCCAACTGAGACATCCAAGACGCACCTCCTCATGTCCACTACCATGCCGCCACCGCCTCACCTAGGCTATCTATACATATATATATATATATCGTGTAATTACATACACACACTCAAACACAGTGAATCGAAAATCCAAACAATCAACCCATTCCCACCCAAGCCCCATAATTGCTCATATTGAAATTAAAGCAATTATGTTAGTTTAAGAGACTCTTTTTGCCCCTAATATGTCATTTTTATGTGCTTATGAATATTTTTTACTTATGTTGCTATGGTTTTATTGCTGGCAGCCTACTATAACAGGGGAGATTCAGTCACCAATGGGTGTTGCCTCTGTAGAATTTATTGATCCAAGGGAACCGGTTGCGGTTAGTATATCAATCTCGTTTTTAAAATTTTATTCTTGTCTCTCTTTTCTATATAATGGATAATCTGAATTTATTTCTTATCTTCTTGTTGTGTATTTAGTATAGGAAGTTCCCCACAATACATTTGTTGCAAGCTAGTTGGGGTTCCCTTTTTTAAGATTTGATGATAACAATGTTACAAATTTATGAATGTGACCTGCTTTAGAAATTATTTAATCTTGGAAGAGTATAGCTTTTCGGTAGCCATCATCTGATGCACTATTTATTTAGCTTTGCAGATTGTTCCTATCTTGAGAGCTGGTCTTGCTCTAGCAGAACATGCATCATCAACTGATATGGTAAACTGGGATCACTGGTGGAGCCTGAAGTTACTCTCAAGGTAATTGAAACTTGTTGCAAATCACTGATCTGCTATAAAGAGAGGTCACTATGACATAGTTTTATTTTGATTATTTCAAGCTAAACTAACACATTGAAGTGTACTAAATTTTCCGATCAAGTTTGATATATGTTTTTGCAGATTTTGTTGAGGGAATAGCTGATATGATCGAGCCGTTGATGTTGGGAGCCAAAGATTATGTTGTTTTTTTTTTTTTTTTGAAGATTTGAATTTTTTAGTATAGTGTATTTAAGGATGGTTAATGGATAACATCTATTATAAATTTAATTAATTTGTTAATTTTGTTATTTTTCATTTACAAAAAATTGTTTGGTGCTTATAATTGATTTTTTTTGTTGTAGCAAACTCATATATGATTTTTTTTTTAATAAATAATTATTTGCGACAGTAAAACAATGGTCGCTAAAAGTGTTTTTTATTTTTTAATTTTTTTTGCGACGGCAAAATAGCTGTCGCAAAAAGTAGTTTAGGCAGTCGCAAATAATTTGCGACCGTTGTTTTGCCGTCGCAAAAAGTATTTGCCACCCCCACATTTGCGTCCCCCATTTGCAGTCGCATAGGCCGTCGCAAAAAGTCTTTTGCAACTGTATTTTTATTATTTGCGACGGAATGTGACGGTCGCAAAAAGTATTTTTTTTAGTAGTGTTAATGTATATTATCTTTTTTAATAAATTTATATTAAGATATAATACAAATTAAAATTTAAAAATTTTAATTAAACGTATTAAGTTGTTATTTGAGTGCAAATAAAATTACCCTTAACAGTCCAAACTCTAGAATTCTCCAGTTGTTTTGAGTGAAACAATGTCATTTTGATTAAGGTATAAATAAAAATAAATAAATAAATAAATAATTGAGGGAGAGAATAGAAAGTTGTATCAGCTCCCTCCGCCTCTCCCTCACTCTATTTCACCTGAAAAATGTTTGGTGGTTAGAATTTTTGTGACTTGAATGGTTCGAATGTGTCAAAACGACGTCGTTTTACATTCAAAACGACGTCGTTTTTTATATTTCGAACCATTTAAATCATAATTTTTTAAGCCACCAATCAGTGTTGATTTCATCTTCTCTATCTCTCTCTGTCTCTCGCTCTTCCTTATCTTCCCTTACCACCGTCTGCAAAACCTAACCCCGATGCCCCTACCCTTTTCGTTATTACGGCCACCGGCCTTTGCAAACCCTGCCACCAAGTTCCTTTCCCATCAACGACGGCTCCACCCGCCGATTGGGTCGCCAAAGTGGGCTGGTGCAACTTTTGTTTTCTTCTAATTCTTTAACAAAAACGACGTCATTTTAACGAACTGCAGGAAAATTATAGGGAGTTGCACTGTAGGGTTCAGACTTTTTTTTCTCCCTGTGTTTGTAGTCCTCTTTACATATAATAAAGAATTACCTAGATTTTTAATATTTTTTTTTTTGGATTCAAAAAAAAGTTTAGGAGGGAAGGCTATCCCATTTCAGTCCAGGAAAGCGTTACGCAATATCGTCTATCAACAAAGGACTGTCGGTAACAGGATTTGAGCCTAAGCTAAATAGGCAAAGGAAACAAGCCTTACTAACTGAATCAACCCTTGCTGGCTAGATTTTTAATCATTGGTTCATTTTTAAACTATGTTTAAATCATAAATTTAAAAAAAAAATGAAAAAGAAAAAAAAAATTAACATATAGATCCATGATCCAAATATTACGTTGTAGTTGAAACCTATAAAAGTCATAAAAAAAAATGATTTAGCCAAAATGAGTATGTGTAATGGAAATTAAATTGATGAAGTGTAGCGTTTATGAGTGAAATGAATTTGAACCATATACTCTTATTTTTAGGTAAATTCTTAGTAGATAATTCTAAATTTGTAATCTTACTGAAAAGTCATAGGTCCCAAATTATATAATCCTATAATCTTACTGAACCATTTTCTTTTGTTTTGTTTTGTTTTTTTTTTTTTTTTTTTTTTTTTTTTTTTTTGGTTATATTTGAAAAAAATTGTGTATACCAAACATTATATTTGATTTTTTTTTTTCCAAAACAATAAATAATATATATATATTTTTGTAATTGGCAATGTTGTCAACTAAAGGAGAGGTAAGTAAAACAGTGTTGAAGTATTTGTTCGGTTTCTTTGGTTGGTTCCTTACCAACTCTAAGGTGCTAAGAGCATCTCCAACGGTGAACTAAATTTTTACCAAATTTAAGTAAAAAAAAACTAATTTTCTCAATCTGATACGGTTTGCTCCAACCATGTATAAAAAGTGAAGTGGTCGACCGGTAAGGCAAAATTTTTTTTTTTTACGTGTTTGAACCTTTTTGACCGGTTTGAACCTACCTATTTGAAAAGGAACCGGTCGACCGGTTGGTCAATCGGCCGGATAACAGGTTGGTTGACCGGTTGGTCCACCTCAACGGTAACGCACAGTGAAATGGTGAAATCTGGAGCCTGTTCTCACTTTGATGAATTTTTTGTTCCATTCTCATTTTGATACCAATTTGGTGAAACCATTGGAGCTCAAAAAAGGAATTTTTTCACCAAATTTCAATTCTGATGCAAAGTTTGGTTCACCATTAGAGACGGTCTAACAAATGATAGAATGGGTTCTTTAGTGTCAACTTAGTTGGGATGATTTAGCCTACCGTGATACTTTTACACTTACCTCTCTTTATTGGTGTATTTTGTTTTATACCTTGTACTCTATTCTTACATTAATAAAATCTTTTTCTTGCCGTTAAAAAATCTCAAAAAAAAAAAAAAAGAAAAGAAAGTAAAACAGTTATTTTATACATAAATCAATTTTACGGAACCCTTTCACATCGGTGTGTCCGGTTGTGTGAACAGTTTTCATGCTCTTAGATTTTTTGTAAGTGAAAATACTAATGTTTAAATTTTAAATTTAAATAGTAATTTGAAAGAGAGAGGAAGAAATTGTAAAAAATTATAAAAAAAAAAAATTATGTTTCATTTATATTTCTCTCACATTTTTTTTTCTTCTTCCAAATCATTAACTAACTCCACGATCCACATTTTGATGCTTCTGCAGAAAAATAGAATTCTAATGGCAAGATTGGTTAACAAAGTTCGAAACAAGTTTTCTGATTGGTACTACATGCATGAACTACAAGGACTTTGAAAATTTGAGCAACATTATGGGAATGGAAAATCTTTTTGCAGAAAAGGTTAAAGTGAAAGGTAATTAACCGACACCATTCGAATTACACCAAACATAAATATTATTTTGTATGAGAATTTGCAAGAAATGATAGACATCCTTAGGTTTATGCTCTCATGTCTTTGGCTTTTTAGAACAAAAATGATGGAGCAAGATAACAGGGTGTGAAATCAAAATTTAATAATCTGTATTCACACTCATGTCAATGCCAAAAAAAAGAAGTTGGTTAAGAGGAAATCACTATTTAGCAACATTATCAGTCTTTCATTATTTATGTTCACAATGTATTTAAGCTTGACTTGTTGACATAGTAAGCTTATCTCGAATAAGCTTTCAAAATGCCAAACACGAGCTGAGTTCGGGTGGCTAATTATTGTGCATTTTTCATTGGGTACAACTTCTTTATCTCTTGTTCTATGAATCTAGTATGTTGTTCTATGAATATAGTATATTTTTCAAGTTTAGTTTTAAAATATAACAAGTTTTAAAATGTATTCAGACTTTACTTGTCTACATGACGAGTTGATTTCGAATAAGTTTTTAACATACCGAACACAAGCCGAGCTCAAGCAGATTATTATTTTGCATTTTATTTGGAGTACAAATCATTTGTCTCCTCACTTGTGTAGACATCCCAATTTGACTGGCTTTAAGACATGGATACTTTCTTTTGATCACCCAATGATGAAAATTAGAATACGTTATTTTTAAAATTTCTCAACAAAAACGTTGGGTTTAAGCTTTAATTAATGACATTCCCCTCTCATACATAAGCTTCCGAGCCAAGCATCTCTTTTTTTTTTTTTTGATTGGCAAAAAAAAATCTTTTATTAATGAACAAAGAACTCATTACATCAAGAAAGGAAAAGGAATGGGTGCAAAAAATATCATAGCGAGACATACCAATCCCAACTAGGTTGGTACCAATATGTCCGTCCAATCCCTTGCTAGCACACCATCCAAAGTTGGTAAGAAATTAACCAAAGACAAGAAAAATAACAACACACAGCAGCAACTATCTTCTGTTTTCAAAGACCAAGACAAAACAAAACAAAACTAAGTATATCAAAACAACACCAAAACTATCACAACACCAAAGCCCAATACCAAGACTAGTACTGTAGCAGCAACCATTAGCAGCATCCAAAGCAGCAACCATTTGCAGTATATCAAAACCATTCTCAACCAATATGTCAGCGCTACGAAAATTACACCACAATAGGCCAAGCATCTTTGGTTACAACGAATAGTGGCCTTGGCACGAGTCACGGGTTTCCTAATTTTTTCAATATATTAGGTGGCGACTTTCAGAGCTAGTGATATAGTCCATTTCTGGCAAAGATTTTTGCAATAAAACAGATTTAATATAAAAGTTGTCAAATTTGGTCTCTCATTTATTTTTCACATTATACTCATGAGATTAGATCAAGGAAATCGATGGTCCAAACTGTTGAACACGTATGGGTATCCCCGAGCGATGTTACAACTTGTCTCGAGAGTATATTATGTTGTTTGAGTTTGACTTTAATACTTAAAGAATAAAAAAGTATATCCAAACTCGATTTGTTTACATAACGAGCTGATTTCGGACGAGTTTTTAACATGTCAAACACAAACCAAGCTTAAGTGGCTTATTATTGTGCATTTTCTTCGAGCGCAAATCCTTCACCTCTTCCTCTGTCTCAAGACAATTGCATATTTGTCAAGGTTGGCTTAAATACTTAAATATTTTAAAAAAAATTTACACTTAATTTATTTAGAGCAACTCCAACACAAGAGACAAAATGGGTATTTTAGGCATTTCCTTTAATGAATCTCCATTTTTGTATATTCAACAAGCTTTCTATCAAAAGAGGTTTTTGTCAACATAAATTTCAGAACATAAACCTTACACTTTGGATCATTTACCATGTGTATTATCAAGAAATCAAGACAAAA